CCCCAAAACCCCAAAACCCCAAAACCCCAAAACCCCAAGACTTGTAAAAACTATAGAATTTCTTTTTATAATTACTCTGATTCATGAAAGTGAGCTTATCTTCGCAAAATGCCTATAAGATGGACTTCTTGAACAAGGTGTCCTTACAACAGAAGGGTAATAAGGTTAAAGAGGCAGCTCCAAGTAAGAACTTTGATATCGAACTGGAGGCTCTACAGAAATTACCCAAAGGCACGATGTATTTCGGGAAAATGAAGAGTCCTGCTCTCAAGCAGGCTATCAATTTTGCTCATCGGAATAATATCCAATCTGATGAATACACTGAAACTGCTCTGGATTCTGGAAGGAGAAATATCGAGGACCTACTTAAAACCATAAACGATATCTCTTGTCAGGATTGAAATTTACCGAATTATACAAGCTCTGGTGGCATATGCCCAAGTTCAGTAAAATAATTTGAAGAGTTTGCACGGCCAAGGTCACATGAAGAATTACCGGTCCAAGCTTCATCCAATTTCTACTCATGGGAGTTTCAAGGAAATAAAGACGATCGGGAGTAGTGATCTCGAGTTGCATGAGAAAACAGCTGAGTCTGCTCTTGTCCCAAAATCAGGCTATTATTTTAAGAAGTATAAGATAAGTAGTCCTAAACTTCATCCTGATCCAGTAAGTTTGATAAATAAGCAAATTGATCAATTTAACAAAAGGAAGCTGAAAAGGGAAGGAAAGCACCGTGCTAGTGTGGAAAATCACATAAACTTACCTTCTCTTGAGCTTGCAACTCCTAAGAAGGCCAAAGAGAAGGGTTTTGGATTTACGTTTGGGAACAAATCCAACAACAGTCAGGTATGACAAAATTCCAAAAGGAGGAGATCGATCCTTATGAACCTTAAAAAAGGCAAGAAAGATTTCTTCATGCCTAAATTAAGCTGTAAAAACTTAGGTGTACCAACTCTTTTCAATGAGAAGCTATCATAGTGGTGATATCTGATCAGAGAATGGTACATTATAACATAAATTCTTGTTGAAAATGTAAGAATATAGCCAAAATCATCTTTAAAGAGCCAAAATAACCTGGGCAGAGTCCTTAGAGACCAAGCTTCAAGCAGAGGCTAACGTCTGGTTTAGGCTCTGATAGTATGGATGATCTAAACTATCATTCATGACAGTTCAATAGTGTATCAATATAGGCCAGCCTATTTTCTTTTGGAAATATATTAAATCGGTTATACAATATTCTATGATCTTTAAGGGGTTTTGGGGTTTTGGGGTTTTGGGGTTTTGGGG